GAGAAGCTGCAAGGTGTGAGCAGAGCCAGCCCAAGAGAGAAGTGATGAGAGCTGTAACCACCAGCAGTGCCATAGGGATGGAGCCACCCAACCCCTTAAGAATCCATATCTTGCTACAGATTGCCCTGGATAATAGACGTGGAACTATGGGACTTAATGTTTGTCCTATTGGATTTTGGAAATGTTTTGCCTCCACTCTTTTCTATCCCTATATGTGTGCCTATTGGAGTAGTAATGTTTATATTGTGCCATTGCATGTGGGAAGTGTTTAGCTTTATTTTATTTTCATTTGTACAGGGGCTTACAGCTAAGAGTTTACCTTAAATCTGAGAAGAGGCTTTTAACTTGGACTTTTCAGTAATGCTGAAATTATTAGGACTTTGGCAACTCTTAGAGATCTGCACAAGTCTTTTGGGGGCCAGGATTGGAATATTAAGGCTTGTATCTAGATGTCCCCCAAAGCCTCATGCACTTGTGGTGGGGGGTTTTTGATGGTCACTGAATTTGGGTGGATGAATGTGAAATAAGGGTGTAATACTAGGATTCATAGTGTGAATAATGGAAGCCCCTATTCTGAGTATGAATGGCACCGATCAATAGCCTTTTAGCCTGGATGGAATATAAAGAGATGAAAAAAGGCAAGCTTGCTGTTGTTGCCTTCTGCCTGCCACACCATGAATCGTTTCTCCTCTGTGATGGATATCTGCTATGCCACCCTGCCTTGGAGCCAGTTGACTATGAACTGAAACCTCTACAAATTGTGAGCCGAAATAAACCTTTACTCCTTTAACTTTGGATGTTGGGTATTTTGTCTCAGCAACAAGGAAAGTAACCAAGACACCAGTGCTTGGCATATGAAAAGCATTCAATAGATATTATTATAATAACTGCAGGGCTCAAAAATTGCTTCCATTTATAATTTAAAGGAATATATACTACAAAAATAAGTTTTCCCAAACAAGATATGTGGTTCAATTGGACAAATTTGAAGTTGCAGTAGACTTTCAACTTGTTGAAAGTTTAAACAGAATAAAAAGTTTTAACTTGATTGACCTAATAAAAAGATAACAGGGTATTGCTTTCATTCTTCAGTTTTGAAAGAGTAAAGTGAATACAATGCTGATATTTTTACTTTGTACATCTCTAAGAGTCAAGAACAAAAGGAAATGTATGCCACCAAAGCAATCCAGAATGAAACCATCATCATTCTATTGGGAGCCACCAAACAAAGCAGTTTAAAAACAGGCAACTTAAAGAAGAATAAAAAATGTGTTCATTTGTTACTGCTTTTCTGTAATGAACAGGCAATGTGCACTTCATACTAAAACAGAATTTAATGTAGTGAAAGTGCAAATTTTTCTTCTTGTATGGCTTGTGGTAATGTTTTAAGTGGAATCTTTAGAGAGGCTCAATCAATACTGCCAATGTGCTTTTTATAACTTGGAAAATACATGCTTTTAATATTAAAATGTTCTAGTTATTAACAGTCTAAACTTACTCAGTGAATTTAGTTTTTCTATCTTCTCTATCTGTCCTACATTCTCTCCATTGCTCTAGCAAATAGTAGTTAATTTTTACATTAAAATTAAATTATATACCTTAATTCTTGTAATTTTTGTGATGTTAGAATTAAAACTATATAGCTATTTGTTATACTTGAATTAATATTGAATGAATAGTATATTCCACTTTATCTATCCTAATGAAACTTAATGTAGAATAACTGTTTTGAAGAACTTGCATTTATATGGTATCAATTTGTTAGAAATATCACATGAATTTAATCAGTTATTTGTTTATGCCATATATCTTATTTAAAATATTAGATATTTTTATACATATTATGGTTTAAATTTAAACCTTACCATTAAAAATATAAACGTTATTACATTTTAATAACCATCCTTTCAAAAAAGTCAAAACAACATACAAAAGAAGGGGAAAGCTATTATTTAGAGCTTCAGTCTTATTTAATAACCATGAAATGTTGATAATACATTTAAATCACTTACTTCTGTCTACTGAACTGATTACAGGTTTCAAGTTTTGTTAGCACTGTTATGTGGAATTTAACATTTAGTCTGACTAGCTTCATGACAAAGCTCTCTACTCCTGATACTTTGGAGGGAGTGGAAAGTAATGGAAAAGTGTAATCTTGTGAAAATTATCACATCACATTCTAAGCCTCAGTTCTGTATTTGTAAAATAGGACAGCAATATCTCATGAGATTTAACAAATGATGAATAATTTAAATGTTTTCCAATCACTAAATGATTTCTAGGCATATAGTAGCCATGTTATTTCTCTTCTTTCTTGTATTCTGTGCCTAAAAAGAAAAAGAAATTAAAGTTTGAGAGAAGATACGGTTCCCAAGTAACAATTCACAGCATTTAGTATCAATATACAAGTGATACCCTCTTTTTAGGTAGGGCAAACCATTTCTCTAGGATGTGAAATGTGACACTCTAAAACACTGACATAGCTCCAAACATGACACTGCAAACCACTGAGATATTCCTTATGTGATGCTATGTTATATTAGCCTCACAAGATCATTTAAGAAATTTATGTTGTGAACTTTTTACCATAAGAAGCTAGGTAACATTATTTTCTCTTTGTTTATGGCCTATACTACTAATTATTTATAATAGAAAGAAGAAATTTCAATAAGTAAAGGAATTATCTTTTGAGGGAAGAGGCCATGTACTATATACATTCTTTTTTTCTGAAAAAAGTCTTATTTTCTCCCACCTTGAAATGAAAAGACTGAGAAAAATGGTAAAATTGTCTACCCTTTCATTTAAAGCAGCGGTTTTCAATTGTTTCCCTCTGAAACATTTATAAAGGTAGAAATATAAATCCATTATGATAGGGTGTTTTTTACTTAGAGATATTAACACTGTAGCCATGTGTTTTTTTCCCTTTAAAACTTCAAGTAGCACTGAAGTCCAGGAAGATTGTTATTTTTTCCTTTGTTGTCAGATACTCCTAATATACCAGCATAACTTCAAAGATCAGTCTATTCCTTTTTGAATTACTTTAATGTAATTCACATGCTTTACCTTTAATGCTTTACCTTGGAGATCATTATACTCATCTTCTAGGGAATCAAAGAAAACAACCGTTAACAATTTTACAAATTACACTGGCAAATCTCTAGTCTTGAAATCAGACAACTTTTGTTTGAATGGGCTTTAAGTAAGGCCTGGCTATAGTTTTGAAAATAGTAATCCCTCTAAAGTTACTAGCATAGAAAGTTTATTGACCCTTTTGAACATTATTTTCTCCCTTTACTATTATGTCATAATCATAATTATGAGATTGGCTCACATTATTTTATTAGGTACACTGACTTCTTTAGGTGTGGTTTTATTGACCACTCTAAGCATTTGGACAGATATTTGTTTTATATATGGCATGAGGTATTTTCTGGCTACTAAAAGCTTGTAGATACACATTCATCAATCTCTCTCTTCTTTTTTTTGTAGTCTAAATTTTATTCCTTACCTGAAATTGTATATGTCAATAAAAATGTTGAGGGTATAGTTCCTCATATTCTATGTTCTAAATATTGCTCCGGCTCAGTTAAGCTACACTCACCCGTTCTTATGAAACTGATTTTTCATTCCTTTCCTCTATTCCCTCTGAACAATATTTGATTTGAACAAGATTTGATTATCAGTGTCTTTCCAGGTTTTCCTGAATTCATTGTAATGAGAGGATCTAATGTATCACAAAATCTATGACCATGTATGGCCCTGGATGTTACCATTTAACACAGATTTACAGAACGTGATACACCATTATTGTAATTTTTTATTTGCTTTTTAGGAATCATAGTTTTGCACTTTATTAGGCCAGCATACTTGAAGAAAATTTCTGCTTTAAATGATTATGCTCTTTCAACTTCTGTTTAGAAAACACTCCACAGAGCCTTTTTAAGCTTTATTGTCTTATTTCACCTAGTTTCTTTTTCTACTAAATTATATATCTTTGGCAGCTTGCTCTTCTATTTAATGAAACAATCTCCTTTTAATATGCTTTATTTAGTTGCTTTCTTTTATATTTATAGTATTTATGACTCAGTTTTTAAATAATATTGACTCTTTGGTACTAATAGGTTAGAGATTTATTGAAATGGTGGGCATGTAGAAGAGGAAAGGCATTCCGATGTCCCTGGTGCTGACTGAGAGTTGTGACTCATGTGAGGCTTGGACCGATTGGGATATAAGTGTGGAAGACAATACAGTTCCCTTTTTACCCAATAGTATGTGTTTGTGCATGGTATAACAATGAGCGGCAACAAAATATTTATATATCTTGCTTATCATTTTAATTTTTTTGCAAGTAGAAGAGATTTAAGAGATAGGGGAGGGGTAATGGGAGAGAAAGGGGTTAAAAAAGGATTTAATATGTATTGTGTATATTTACCAATTGCCCACAAAGAATGTAAACATTATATACTTCATATATGTACTAATAAATAAAAGATAATTTTATAAAGTTATTTTCAAAGATCATTGAAATAGATTGTAAGAAAATCCTAGATACAACATACATATTCCTACTAAAATTTTGCTAATGTAATTGATGATAGAAACTAAATCAAGAGTCAAAATGCTCTATGGCTCACATACTGTTATGACTATAAAAATGTTTATGATATAATGTATATATAATGAGAAAACATTTCAGTTACAAATGCTTTTATTCATAGTACAACAGTCTTTCCCAGATTAAAGAAAACCTGCATTTGAGTGACTTGATTTTTTTTTTTGTAGTATTTCATAATCTGGAGTCTGCTCTACAGTTTTACAAGTTCCAGATAGATGTAATCTTCATTTCTGTATTGTGTATTTAACAATAGCCATACTAAGTGCAATCATAGGGAGGTACTTTTTAAATGACAGTGTGAAATGATAAAATTTTCATGGCTAATCATCATGAATTTACAAAGACATATATAGCTCTGAATATTCTCTTTTACATTTATTTGTAGGAATTGAACAGTTCCACTGGAAAGCTGTGTCATGAGCTGCAAGTGCTCCTAAAGTATCCAGTGGATTTTTAAACATCAGAGGTAAATTCTGAATTTATTTTAATTGTATTTTCAAGATGAAATGAACTATTATTTTGTGACTTAAAACTTACATCCCTTATACCAAGAAGCCAGGTACTTTTTTCTTTAATTTAATCATACATTAAATTAAGTAGTTACTCTAATTTATGGACCCCAAAGTGCCTGGGAGAGTTTTTGATATATGGACAGTTCATTGCTGAGTTTATAGTTTCTCCCTTATACTAATACGTGTCATATGTCGTATGTTTCAGATAATCTGTATACTCTGTGTATTCACTTAATGGCATTTTTGTCTTTTAAAGACACCATTTTAACATTATGTTTAAAGTTAAATCTAGTGTGTGATGGATCAAGGTGCTTCTTTATATATGGTATATTCAAATGTTGGGCATAATGTGTGAAGACTAACAATGTCTCCTTATGAATACATATGACATGGATAGTAATATAGTATATATAAAAATATAAACTTAAAACAGAACTTCTTACTTCTGAGCTTCTTTTCTGTCATTAATCCTAATGAATCTAGTAGCTTTGCATTGCTCTAAGCATGTGTGACTGGGTGACTTTTTCTTAGAAAGTCTTATTTCTTTCTCAACCTTTGCTTTTCTCAACTCTTAATCATTGATTGAGCATCAAAAGTTGTATTTGTCTGCATGTGTACTTCAGTTGTTTGAAAGAATATGGAAACATTTGCAAGTACTGCTTTTTCTTACCTTCTAAATTCATAAAGTAACTCAGAGTCCATGATTTCCAGGAGAGATAAGGCTTGGCCAGTAACTGTTATGAAGTATCTCATTTAATCTATTGAAAGGGAGACTCATGGGACAGCATCACATGAAGACCAAAAAATGGAGTAGTCACATACAATTTTCCTCTGAAAAAATGAGCTTCTAGAACAAGAACATGCCTACTTCCAGCCTGTCTCAGCTCACACAATAACAGAAGGGAGGAATGACATATAGAGAAATGGCCTACCTACATTCACAGGACAAATATACACATACACAAACACAAACACAAACACATCAGTCTAGGACAAGATGTTGGGATACAAGGGAAACTGTAACTGTCCATGCACAGATAAATGAAAAGAAAAATTAATCTCCAGGAGTAATAAGTGGAAAATTACATGTAAAATGCACCAAATTGATCACATTTAAAATGAAAGCATGAATGATAAAATTTAAATCTTGAACTGCACAATGAGGCACGTGGCTCACATTTTGCAAGGGTTGCTATTATGTTAACTTGGAAGAAATAATAGGAAAAAATTGACTGTCACATGAAGAGAATTAAGGAAAACTGCTAATTTGCACAGCACAAAACTATCACTTACAGGGCACTTCCAATAAAAAGAATATGTAATGGCACTTAAAATATGATAAATTTGAAATGATTTGAAGACACTGTGAAATGTAATTGCTTCTTTGACTATATCTTAGAATACTTTTCATAGTTCTTTAGTCAGTTAAGTAATCCTGATAAATTAACCTCGTTTTTCTGCTTGAATGTATGCAAAGTCCTACAGTCTATTTCCCATTGTAAGCCCAAAGAACTTGGGTGTTTTTCAGCTGTAGCTTGATAGCTTATAGTGAGGAAGATATTTTTATCAGCTAATAGTGAAACATGCATTATTAATTTATTGAATAATTAGAGGTTATTTTGAAAATTAGTATTTTATTTGATTCTGAAGGGATTTAAAAAATAGCAAATCCATATGCAAAATTTTTCTCCAGGGAGAACTTCCATTTTAACAAAAGTTTAGCCGGGGATTTAGCTCAGTGGTTTTGCTGCCTGCTGCGCAAGCACAAGGACCCGAGTTCGATGCCCAGTACCAAAAATCCCCCCAAAAAACCAAAAGGTTAAAGCTTGTAACATAAGTGGGATGAAAGGATACATCCTATATTCTCTGTTTCTTTTTCTGACAATTACAATCATTTTTAGTGCTTTCTTTCTGTAACACTGACTTACCCAGTCAACTTTTCATCTAAATGACAAAGAAGACCTCAACTTTGCTTTGCTAGCTAGTGAAGTATTTACCTAGTTTTTTTTATCACTAGTCTTCCATGAAGAAAAAAAGAGATCTTTATTACTTCAAAACCTTTGGCAGTGTTTTAAGAATTATTTTATCCATTTAAAAGCTTTCCAGATTATTTTTATCCATAATATTACTTTAGATATAGCAATATGATGAACATATTAGAGACATTTTATGGTTCAAGTTTAGAAGGTAATTTTCTCCAACGTGATTACCAAAGCCTAGTCAGAAAGTGGATGGCAGACGTAGCAGAGAAGGGATGGTAAAATAAGTCAGTACTCTGAATAGAACCACATCCACAAAACGGAGAGCTCTTTCCACATCTTGAAGAATCACCTTTAGTAAGCCCAGTAATACATATCCAGAACAGACATGATAATGACAGAATTTGAAGATTTCAAATAATTAGGTTTGCCTTAGTTGAAGAAGACAAGATTCTAAGGGTTTGAGCTGATAAAAACTCTCTAAATATTTTTAGTGATGTCAGATTCTGGGGAGGTAGACTTTACAGATATCTCTGAGGGAGGCTCTAGAATATTTGAGTATAATGTGATCAGTATGGACATTTTTTTAAAAATCATATCATATGGATTTTATTTAAATAAAAAAGAAAAATCCATGAAAATGAGAAGTTTTCCCCAAACAGTTGGGTTAGTCCATAAAGGATGGAGACTCATAACTCTAGCAATGTTACTTGATGTGTTTAGCCAGCTTTTCACAGGGGATTCAGTTGTCAGCCAGTGTTGGAAGAGAAAATATTCCACGTTTCATTATTCTGTCATTCCATGATGGTCATTTATGCAGAGAAGTAGCCTTTCCAAACATTATTAGATTATTTTGCTTGCTACTAAGTGATAGTTTATTATGTTCCATGTTTCTTTACTTTAAGATGATCTTTATGTAAAGAAATTTTATAAAGAAAAAATACTGGAGTTGTTCTATTTTAATTATATCACTTACTAGCATATGAACTTAAAGTCAACTGTTTACTGTGCTTGAATTCATCTGTAAAATAAGGAGGAAAAATAAAATGATCTCGCGATTCTTTCCAGCTCCAAAAATCATTAATTTCTCTATCTGATATAAATTGCTGAAAGTGAAGCACAATATTTCAGGGTTTATAATCCCAGGCCCAGTGTCATCATCTCAGGCCCCCATTCACAGGATACGTCACTTTTGCAATTTACTTGGGATCTTTAGGTATAGCTTATAAGCCTGTGGAAAAAGAATAAAAACACTGCTCTTATGACGCCACTGAGGCATCATGAATGAGGCATAATGAATGATGATGAGAAAGCATAATCTCAAGTAAACTATGCTTTGCCATTTCAATGACAAATAGAGTTCAACAATTATTGAGCAACATGGAAATAAATTTTGCAGCACAAAGTTAAATATTTTATGGTTCCTTTATTATTTTTAATGATTTAGGGTTATGATTAGGATAAGATGATGGCTTTTTAATTACACTCTGTTCATGTATTAGATAGAAGCATAGTTTTTTCTCTCTGAGGAAAATTTTGACCATATATATATATACATGTGTATATCACATATCATAGATATATAATATATAGATATAGTTATATAATAGAGAGAGGTATATCTATTATATATAATATTTATTATATATAATTTCTTCTGGTCTGTGTTCTGGTAAAGCATTTCAGCTTCTGAGAGGTTCCAATATTGTGCATATTTTAAAACGTCTATGTCCTTTCTTAGAAACACAAATATCTGTGGTCTTGTACTCATCACAGAATATATATAACTTCTGCCAGCCAGTATTAATCAGCAAGATAGCTGTAAGATAGAGGATTGAAGTACAATTGCTCAAATTGTATGAATCACTTTCATTCATCTCCATAGCTTAAATTTTATCAATGAATAATCAAGACTATTAAAATCTCTGTGTTTGTTCTGTACCAGTGCTTTCACTAAAGCAAAGTTTGAATCAGTGCCATCACTTTAATTGATTTGTGTTAAAGATGCTAGAAATCCATGATTCCATTCACCGTACTGATGCTTTTCATGGTGTAGTTTTCTTCCTCCTTCATAAACTTCTGCATTAAGGAGTCCATGGGACTTATTTTCCTCCTCTTAGCCCTCAAATAGAACTTCTGGCAATGCCTAGATTTTTAATTAATGATTCTAATGGATCATGCAGTAGATTTCTTTGTATGTTTGTGGAGGGTACTAGGAAACTCAGAACCAAATCTGTTGTACATGCTTGATGTGTAAACAATATGGTATTCGTGGTAGTGAAACATAACTGGGCTGGAATCCATGAAGTGGTCAGGTTGCCACCACATTGGTCAACTTAGTGCTTATGTTATATATGGTGGTGTTGTGAAGACTAGGCGAGATAATCACAGTATATTGGCATACATTCTGTTTTTTCACTGATATTAAGAAATGAACCCAGGGCTTTTCACTGAGCTATCTCCTAAGTCCTTTTTTATTTTTTATTTTGAGAAAGAGTCTTGCTAAGTCTAAGTTGTCCAGGCTGGGCTTGAATTTGTGATCCTCCAGCCTCAGCCTCCTGGAGTGCTGGCATACAGGTGTAGTCACAACTTGTGACTCATTTTTTAAATTTTTATTGGTACATGTTTGCAGTACGTAATGATTGCATTCCTTGTGGGAAGTCAGTACAGGCGTATAACATGTCTTAGTACTTTTAGTCATCTCCTTCCCCTCTTCTCCCTCCATCTCTTCGTTCCCTTCTCTTCTGCAAGAGACCTATCTCCCTATTTCCTATTAGCTATCTATAATTTGGCCTATATTTATATTTTGTGCTTCTCATATAAGAAAAACCATGTGATATTTAAGATTGTGTGTCTGATTTATTTCACTTAACATTATAGTTTCAAGGTGCATCTATTCTTATAGGATTTCTAGTAGATACTAACTTAATCTCTATCATTATTGCAACTATTCAAAATTTTTTTCCTTTCTTATT